CCAACAAACACTTTGTTCCCAACTGGACACATTCACACCTTTATTTTTTTAAATATTACTTTACAATTGTAAATGATCTAGCTGCTTTCCAAGCAAGCCAGGACATTTCTTTGCTTCAAAGAAAACAATACCTGAAAAGTTAGACTCAGAGTAGAAGAAATAAGACATAAGCAAGACGATCAGACTGAAGATGAACACAGATTTAATACCATACACACTCACTCATACACAACTGGCCCATTTTTCTAGATCTTCACTTACGAGCTAACCCACGTGGAGCCGGGTCTGTCGCTTTGAAATGCCATGTGCAGCCCGGGACCAGATGGGAGTTTCAAAGCAGCAGTGCTGCATGGAGCCTGCGGTCAGCTGGGGACTCCCCCGCAGACACCAGGCTCCTTGTGGCCCTGCCACTTTGAAATGCCACGGGGAGTACCACGGGGAACTGCCCTCTGCTGGTCCCATGCTCCCACAGTGCTTCCACCTCTGAAGTGTAGCAACAGCTCTGGGGCTGTTGCTACACTTCAAAGGTGGAAGTGCCCTTACTGACTAATCAAATAGGCAATGCAAATTGCATTGACAATTCGAGTAGTCAATCAAAATTTTACATCCCTAGAGTGGAGTACACAAAATCTAGTAGCCTGGGCCCGCCAAGACTCTGGCATGCAAGGGGAATGTTGAGAATGTCTGTCTCCTTCTCAGCTGGGAGCTTCTTCACTTCACTCCCTGACTTTTTTCTCACTTGTGCACAGCACCAAAATAATTTTTCTGTGGGTCAGTGGCCCCCAACCCAGGAAAGGTTCCCCCACCTTGGTCTATAGGATTGTATGAAAAATATTGTGACAAACACATTTGCTTTTTAATTAAATCTTTGCTTTTTATAAATCAAATATTGACGTGTATCATAACCACATTCAATTGAATATATTACTTACTCATGAAAATTCAAAATTCTATTTATTATAAATCCAAGGACAGAGTGAAGACACCAGAAAGTTGTGTTTCCTGAATATTTACCATACCCTATATGTTATAACACTCCATGCAAGTGAAGGGCTTTTTAACCCTCACTTGTATATGGAGGTAACAGCAATTGAAGAATGTTACACGGGAAATGCAAAGTTAGGACTCTTTATTCACATATTAATTTGTCTCGTTTTAGGCTGCATTATTTCAGCCTCAAATTCCATCAAGAGAATGTCAACACAAGCCAAAGATACTAAGGATTTAACACTGTAGTTGGTTAACCGATTAACCGACAAGCAAAAGGTCCCAGGAGCTATCCTTGCTGCGGCTCTGCAATACTTTCCCTGCAGAGCCACAAGGCACTCGGTGAGAGCTGGGACTAAGCCAGGCTGCCTGCCCACTGGCTTCTAAAACACTTAGTGCAGAACCTCATCAGGGATAGTTGTTAGGCCTGGCACAATTCAGGACTGAGTACTTGCAGTGCTAACCCTGATCGATTAATCGTGTAGTCGACAAAATTTAACCAATTATATGCTTGTTAATGTTGCATTAAAAAGCCTCCGGCTGAGCTTACTTGATTTATATACATGGATTTTCTAAAACTACACCAAACTGTAAGGGCTAAAGTTTTCAACTGCAACTTATTGCGATCTGTGTCAAACTTTGTAATCTGTGCAACTCAAATTTACTGTAAACTGCAACTTTGTAATCTTCGTAACTCTCAGCCACCTTGCTTGTAACTTTCCCTAAGAGCATTCTCCCCTGAATGAATGGAGAGAGAGTGTGAGTGTGTTTGAAGAAGGCTTGGAACAATGGACCACATGTCAATGAGTCATCACAGTCTGGGCATGCTCCCTGCTGGATAAAGGGAAGTCTGGGCATGCTCCCTGATGACAAGGTGAACGAGTCACAGGAGCCATTCAGACATTATATAAAGAGAGGGAGCACGTGTGAGACTCTCTTTTTCCTTCCCCTGCTCCTGAGAATCTTCTCTCCAGTGTCTCTTAATGAGTGAATGAATGGAGGGGTGTGTGTTTGCTTGCTTGTCTGTGTGTGTGTGTGTGTGTGTGTGTGTGAGAGAGAGAGAGTTCTATCTTCTTTAGCTTAAACATTTGGTGGCTGCTTTCTCCTCTTTAGTTTTACCTAGTGGAAATAAACCCATACTAGTGTAACCCTAGGTGGTCTCCAGTGAGAATATTTTTGGAGTAACAGTTAATATCCCTAAAAGATACTTCATTCTTTTTATACAATCATCTGAACCCTGACTGACTTTACTATGTATAGTCTGAGGTAAATTATTTCTCGTACCAATTTCTATGCAATGAAAATAAAATTAAAATGACAGTGTAAATATATATTGCAGAAGCTGTAACGTAGCTGCTTGTACATCACCAGAAGGCCTACTGAGTCTGGTTTTAAAGACCATTAAAAAATTATGTTCACTGTAGAACAGCACTTCAAAACTAGTATTTTTGTACAGCTTCGTACATTTTTCCTATAGTGTTTGTGGGTGACTTATTTAGAAGGATGTTTGCAGGTAAGCAATAGCAATAAACACTTGGTGCCAGAATTTATCCCACCATTTAAATGCTCTGGACAGAATGGAAAAGTGTTATGACCATTTAATACATTCTAAATGTTTTGGCTTACACACCTGTTCTTGACATTTTCTCTTTGAGACCTAGCTATAAGCATCCACATAATGGACAGCTGTCCTAGAATACTTTCAATGATGAGCATGACTAAATTAGGTATTTTTTATTTATAACTATCTGAAAGTTCTAATTTGGAAGTGAAAGTCATCTTCTCAAAAGTTATGTAACTTTTAACAGTAACAGTTTCCCCAGACCAAGTAACGTGAAATATAAATCTCATCCTAGATCTCATTCTTGTGGCCTTGACAGATCCAACTCAGCCTCATTGCTAAAATGGGTATAATTAGCTCCCTGTATACCCCTTTAAATAAGTTAATGTTAAACCCCTGAAGACAATACTTAACACTTTAGTTCTTCATTTCCAGCTGACAGCATTAAAACCCATTAAGTCAAAGCTAACTAGTACCAGACAAACTGAAACAGGGAAAAACGTGGAGAGTTTGTTGTTGCTGTTGTTTTTCCAATTACTTTGGTATGATCTTTACACCGCTCTTTTTAATACAAATATAAAGTATGTTGAGGGAACCGAAGAACTAGACTTTACCATTAATAACAGAATTTAGATCTTACAGAGCACCTCTCTATCTCAAAGTACTTTACAAAAGAAGGAGTATCAGCCCCATTTCATAAACCAGGAAATGGAAGCTTAGAAAGGTAAAATGATTACCTGATGCCTCTCACCCGATCAGGGCAATGAAAATATTAATGATAGCAGCTGCAGAGAACAGCTGTTAAAATACAGGAAAATCTTAACTGTTGAACAAACTACAGCAGTGCCCAAGTCTTCAGACACTGAATAGTGGGCTCCATCTTCTGGTATAGTGACGATATCACATGTAGGGAGAAACTCAAGTCCCCCTGCCCCTCACATCTGCTATATATTAACTTGAGCTGAGAGGTCTCCAGATACATACAGAAGTTGCAGGCGTAAGTGTTGTATATAAATTCAGCTGAGTGATCTTTAATGAAATTCTTTCTGAGAAAGCTGTCCATCAGTATCGGATTTCTCCAAAATGAAAATCTTGCAGAAGAGCAACAAGTCACCAAGGGCCATGATCCAACCCATCTGACAGAAGAATGGCTGTGCTTGCTGGGGACAAGTGTGCAAAACCACATGATCATGCCAGTGATAGTCCTGAAGTGGGGAAAAAGCAGTTGCTGGACTACCTACAACTATGGTAAATTAACCAGGTTCTAAGTAATTTCCAAAACAGAGAAGAGTTAATAATAGCAAGATGACTACAATCTGCTACCTAATATAGCTTTATGGAAGCATTGTAGTAAAGGGAATTCTTTCAGCTTCTGTATATTTTTGGATAGAAATCAGACAACTTCAGATTGAAATTCTTGGCAGCACAACATTAGATGAATTTAACAGTCTAATTTCAAAGTGTTAGAAGAAAAAAAACAAACAAACAAACAACCAACCAACCTCCACAACTCATTTACAAGGGTAAATCCTATCCATTAAGTCTTAACATTTATTTCTTGAAGCATGATTCCACAACTTACCAAAAGGGATTTCCTAAGCAATAGAGAAGCTGGCATCATCTTATCTCCTATTAAAACTCTGAGGGTATGTCTACACTACCACCCTAGTTCGAACTAGGGTGGTAGTGTAGACATACCCTAATAGATTTAGCATACCTGGGTAAAAAAAGAATCACTTCTCTACCTGCTCACTGTCCTCCACCACAGACTTAGTTTTAACAAACAAGAAAACATTTCTACTTTTGTATTTAAGGCTGAAATCGTGTTGATTTCTTCCAAAATTAAAAAAAGTAATTGAACAAAAAACAAAAAAAAATTTTCAGGGTACTACTGAAGGTGAGGGAAATAATTTCAAAAGTGACATTCCAAAAGTTTAAAAAGACTTCTTGTACAACAACCCACAACAGGAAGTTGTGAATACATCCAAGCAAGAAGTTGTGTGAAATATATGTTTAACTGTTGTGCCATAAGCACACACAGAACTTTATAAAATAAAGGACAGGGACTGCCCAGAGTAGCTTAGAGCCAGGCAGCAAGGGATGAGAGATAAGTACATGGATATGAGGAAGGCAGTATTATGAATGTGAAAGATCATGAGGTTTTGTTTTAAGCATACATTTTATGCTTTTATAGCGATATTTGTGAATTATTCATATTAAGTTGTTTTCTATGCAACATAATTGGTCAACAGTCTGGAGAGCAGATAGGAGAGTGCAAACTAAATGCAGTTCTTCATAGACTAAACTAATTCTTGATGGATTAAAAGGAGGAGAGTGAAACTGCATAGCTCTAAGGAAGTGAGAGAACTTACTGGTACCATGTGAATCAACATAGTTTATTGCTTTAGAATACTTAAGAGTTTCAAGTACAAAAACCAGTAAGGGCACTTACCTTGCAAACAGACATGATGTTAATGTTGATAATTTTATTGATTGTCTGTAGGAAACAAATTTATAGAAAAATTATTTTGATAAATATTTAAAAAAAACAACTGTTCAGGGCTCTAAGTGCCATAACAATTAAAAAAAACCAGCAGGTACTATAGGAAAAACTCCATCTCCAGCAGAAAACCTAGCATCCTTCCTACACCTTCTCTCTCTATTAGGATCAACTGTACACACACGCTGACATGAACCTAGGCTATCAGTCACTTAGAAATCTCTCCACAGACATGCAGGTAGTATATTTAGTTGTACACACACAGTAGGTGTGCTTAATTTTCTATATAATGCAAAGTGAGCATCTGATTTAAATCAAGAAGATAAGGGGGCTAATCTGGCATTCCAGATTGTGAAGTAACATTTATTCTCATTTCAGACTGCATGCTCTCAAGACTACTTTCCTGTAGTTAGGGATATAAACAAGTAGTCGAGTATACAATTAACCAATAAGCCTAGACTTACCAGTTAATCTTCTCAACTACTCCCATTTCCCATGCCTCCTTGCTGCCTCTGATAAAAGGCAGCAAAGGGGGGGGGGGGGGGGAAGCAGGAGCCAGTGCTAGGGAAAGCCAACTTAGAAGCCAGAGGCAACAGCGAAAAGGGGGGGGGTAGGAGGGGAGATGGTACAGACAGGGGGTGCTGCCACGAAGCAGCCTCTGTCCACGGCAGGCTCATGCTCACTGCATTTATAGAACTGAATGCAATTATTCAACTATTCAATTAACTAATAGCTAACATGACTACCTGTAGTTATTCACACCTGCTTCTAAGAAGAGGACGAAGATAGGCACTAATAGGACAGGAAACATCTTCAAGTGTTTCTATTAAAGAAAAAAACTTGGAAGAATAAAAAAAAAAGGAGTGGACTGGCACCTTAACTGTTTTAATGAATGATTTTTACCTGTTTAGGACTCCTATTAATGAAAAAAAATTGAGCATACATACCAATTTGTGACACTATTATTGCATACTTATGCATCTCCACTTCTGTAAATCTGGCTTCCTAACATTCTGACCATGGAATTACATTAATCACAATTGCTTTTAGAATCCTACAGACTTTTAAATGGTCGTCACTTGCCTATGTATTGCTTAGCGTTTTAATTCACTTACCTACAAGTTTTTTAAGTTAGATGAAGATTAATTTGTTGGAAATATTGTAATGCAAGATTATCATTATTATTTAAACGGTAAACCAAAGAGAATGAATACGTCCTTTTACCTGTTTTCTGAATTATCAAAATGGAACAAGGGATGGACAAATTTCTAAAAAATATGTACATTTTGAAGCATGAAGCTTTTTGCCTTTCAGTTTTGTTTAAATTAGTATGTATAGTCCAATTTTAAAATACTTGAAGTTGTTATAATCCTCATGTTCACACAAGTATAACACCCGCAAATATGCTGTAGTTTTTCATATAGATCACTCACTTTCACTTCCTTCACCCACTTTGCACTCTTTTACTTGATTTTTTTAAAATAACTTTCAGTTGAGATTCTATCCAACAGCCATGAAATTCAGATAAAGAATCCACAGCAACTGTAGCTCTGTTACTTCTTTTTAAACACACAATTGAAATGGAAACGTGCAATTTTTTTGTATTGGAAAAAAAGATAAGCTTCTATCAGGTCTTAGAATTTCCCAATCTTATGTGTGTAAGCTTGTTAAGTCTTGAAGCTGTATTACTTACAATTACATCCAGGCTAACCCATTTAACAAGCATTTCATTCTGCGCAGAAATCTAAGTTTACTAGGAAGGTATGAAAATTGCAGAAGAGTAAAGTTAAATAAATAGCAATACTTACATTATCCAGGTCTGGAACATCAAGAAAATATTCGGGATAAGTGTATGAAGCCCCCACATTGTTGACTGAAACAAAAATAAAAAAGTTTAAATTAATTCTGCTGTCACTCCAATTAGGAAGCTTTGATGTTTTGTAATCAACAGTCTCATTGAAAAGTTAACAAAGCCACACTGAGATGTTTTATAACTTTGTGGCGTGTCACATTTCCTTTGTTATCAACACACACACGTACCAGAAAACAAAGGGTGAACACCACACGCTTGAATATAATTTTTGAATTTTTTTTTACCACCACATGATAAATGGTAATTGTCTTCTTCTGCAAGCCTTACTGAATTTTGCTAAACTTTATAATACAACACAGGAAACAATCCTGTAAGTGAAGTGATATAGATCTTTTTTCTTTTTAAATTTGTGGCTTATATGACAAATCATATTGAACTAAAAACAAGTTAGCGTCAACATGCTCTGTGCAAGACAGTTTGTGTTGATATGGACCATGTCAACTGGAGACCGAGGCAAGCACACAATCTACTGTCATTAACTCCATGGTCAAATGCTTGCTCGTCACAATCTTCATTTGGAGAGCTCATCCACCTTCACCCGTTGATCCTTCCACTCCCACGTCACAATTACTCTCCAGAGTTTTAATGTAGTTTAAGGCTAATTTATTGGGACCAGAAACAAGTGATCAAATTTCATGTTTAATTAAATACAAGCTAGTCATTGGAATTCTCACTAAATTTCTATTTTTATGTAATAGGAGTAAAAGCAGCCCCTGACCTAGTCCATTAGAGTGCATGAAGAGAAGGAGCAGCTAGTAACCCAGCCCCCTCTATCAGGAATGCAGTACAAACTAGGTATGTTAGATATCATGTAACTGCATACAATCTTAGAGGTTACACGACTATTCAGTAGTTCCCAGGGGCAGGGTAGGCAGCCAGTGCACTTGACCGCTGCCACCTCACGCTGCTGCCTCTGTATCTGAGGCAGGAGCGTGGGGTGGCAGCAGCCTCATCTGCGGGGGTCCAAGCTCCCCATGGACAGAGGCTGGTCCGTGGGAGCAGCCTCTGTCCACGGGTAGATTGGGCCCCACTGAGGACTGGGGCTGCTGCCATGGACCAGACTCACCACAGAAAGAGGCTGCTCTATGGAATGTGGAACAACTTCTTTTCACGGGGAGCTCGGACCCTCCACAGACAGGGGCTGCTGTCACAGACCAGCCTCTGTGGTGAGCCCAGGCTGCCATGGATAGAGGATGCTTTGCAACAACCTACCCTACCCCACCCACTTTTACACCAACTACACCCCCAGCACTCCCTGCTGCCTCCCCTCCTGCCCCTGCTGCCTCTGTAGGAGGAAGTATTGGGGGGGAAGCAGGGGGAAGGCAGGTCCACAGAAACAGCATGCACTGGGAACCTGCTTAAAATCCAGCTCCCTGTATGTACTGGCTCCAGCCTGCTCCCCTCACCGTCTGTGTTGTTGCTGCCTCTATCAGAGGCAGCAGTGTGCATGGCGGGAAATAGGCAGATCTGGTGCTCGTGGGGAGCCTACTTAAAAGCCAGTTCCCGCTCCCCTGACCCTTGCCGCCTCTAATACAGAGGCAGTGGGCCAGGTTGGGGGGAGGGAATGCGTATAGTTGACAAGATTAATCGATAAACACAGGCTTATCAGCTAATCATGCAGTCTACTGCATATTGACATCTCTAGTACAAACACATCTCGAGTACAAACACTTTAGGCAAAACTAACTGTGAAAGGCACTGCATTTTTAATTTTAAAAATTCTTTACTTTTAAAAATGATAAAAATAATTAGGGATTAATTCTTTTAACATGCACTTTCATCCTTCCCACCCCCAGATCAATCTTCCTGACAGAACTTGTACCAAGTTCACAGAGAAACAATTGTGTAACTCACTTGAATGAAATGAAAAGACCAGGGACACATCCGAATCCCTGGCAACATCCAATGTGAAAACTGTTTAGTTTTTGAAAGAGTAAATGTGCCAGTTGCCCTACTGCATTTAGCAGAAGTCTATTTCCCTCCCAAACTCAGTTACCTGGAGCAAGTGCTCCAGAGTACCAATTGTTAAGGAGCAGAACCACCGTGATAAATTAATCTTGTAATTCTTTAAAAAAATAAAACGCAGTGCGTGCACACATACAGTTTATAGCAGAGGGGAGATTTAGAAAGTGAAAAACAATGGCCAAATTAACACCAGTCCCATGTCAACAGTTGCTGTGTGAGGACAGTAGATGGCAGAAGTAACTAACATGCAATCTGCAAACTCATCGAAGGCACTCTGAAAGAGCATAAATAGCTTGGGGGTGGAAGAAGTACGAATAGAAGTGCAGGAGAAATCTCATTAATGACAATCTTCCTACATTGAACAGTCCATGTTTTTGACAAAGCTTATCTGTTTTTTGAAAGGGGTTGTGTTTTGCTTTCTCTGTGTATTCAAAAGGCTCATTACACGGGGATTCACCATAAAGCAAACTGATCCACAAGTTGTTTTCACACTCTTCAGATGTGTGAAATCTCCCCCCATTGGCCACATTTAAAATTAATTGAAAAATCTGTGAATTGCTTAAAACTAATTTTTGAATCCATTATTTTAGACTCGTTCTCAGATATGAAGCCAATATTCATACTGTAGTAATCTAAATACACTAACAAATCATGGAAAACTTCTAATCCCACTCAAACAATACTACTTTTGTCCTATATATTCTAAATTTCTACTTTATTAGGGTAAACATTAGCATAAAAACAGTATCTTTGTTTCATATACATTTATTTGCTGTTAACCTTACTGAACATGTCTATACTTCAGTGTAAACCTAGGGTTCAAACTCAGGCTTGTGCCTAAAGCCACTTCCAATTACACATGCATTATGCTAATCCACATCTTGAACCCAGAATTCCAAAGACCCACAGAGGTGGAGGGCCTAACCTGAGTCCATCTGCAACTCAGGGTACTAGACCTATTGCTTTGCAGTGCTGATGCAGCCACACTGGACTCTCGGCAGACTTCCAGGCACAAGTATCCCATAATTCCACACACTCCAACTTTCTTTGTCCTATGAACAGTCAAGTTTTTCCAGATTGCAACATGAACAACAGGCAAGTGTGGCCATCTTTTGAGAGCAACTCATAGACTGGCATATTGTGGCTGGACTTGTACTCACATAATGCAGCGTAGAAACTGGAGGCCCAGGTTGGAACCCAGTATTCACTAATTCTTAGCCTGGGGTTATAAATGAGTACAGATTCTCAAGCAAGTCCTATATATTAACATACCCAGCATCTGCTAACTTGAATTCCACTAACAACGAAGCCACGTCTCCACTTGCCGCGCTGGAGATTTATGTTCTGGTGTTTGATCTGGCAGATCTAATTAAGACCCACTAAATTGAATGTTGAGGGCAGCTTTGGTCGGCAAAAGTATTCCTCAGTTACCATGAGTAAGTAGCAGAAAGGAGCATTTACTGCCATCCATCTCCCTCTGTGAAGATGGTGCCAAGGTCGACTTACGATAAGCTGACTCCAGTTACGTATTTTATGTAGCTGGAGTTGCGTGCCTTAACCTGACCTTCCAGGTCTAGTGTAGACTTGGCCTCAGTTTGACATACCTACAGAAGTACCATAGTTAGTTCCCATCGACACAGCATTTGACACTTCTATAGTGCTTTACTACAGGATCCTAAAACACTATGCTATTAACATATTAACAGCATTGTTTAAATGCATTCATCTTTGAGGTTGGAGTTTATGTAGGAGAAGGGAAATTTGCAGACCAACGGCACTGAAGCAAACATTTTTTCTGAGAAGTATTATGGCATCTTTACTGTACATGCAACTGAGACAAAAGGTTGCATTTTAAGATTGCCTGAAAAATAATTTCCATGTCAAGGATATTAAAAATGTGGAGGAAACTGACAGAAGATTAGTTGTAGCAGAGGTTATTAAACTTCATTCCATGACCGACTCAAGTACACCTCTCCTATTCAAAGATCTCCAAACCCCATTAGAGAATCTACTTACCCATGTAAATTTCTTTAAAAGAATCCTAAAAATACACTAGCTGAAAATGAAGGTAACAGGCTCACAAGGCTCAGAATAAACGGTTATAAAACTGCAGTGCAGATTTTCGGGCTTGGGCTGGAGCCTGGCCCTTGGTCCTGGAGCTGAAGCTCCAGTGCCAAAGTCTACACTGCAGTTTATAGTCCTGCAGCTGAGCCCCATAAGCTCAAGTCAGCTGACATGGACCAGTGATTAGTATTTTACTGCAGTATAGACATACCCTCAGAGATGTACATTTTTTAACAGTATTAGCATAAGGAGGAGGAACAAAATGTTGCCACCTTTCACCCTAATTATAAAAAATTTCTGGCCACAGTTAATCTATTTTTAGGCAGACACACCTCAGGGTAGAATGAAGAGTTATGGACAGAATTCTTTAGGATTTTTTCAAAGTTTGACTCATAGTAAGTGTCCATTAGGGAAATATTTAAATTTCTAAAAATCTCGGTACTGAAGCTATCACTGCAGAATGGAGCCCACTATGCACTATTCAGTGTTAACAAGTTATTTCCATTTCCAAGCCTATCTACAAGGAGAAGAACTAGAAACTGGCTTTAAAACATTCACTTCTCTAAGAAGGCCAGAGCCTGGCTCTGCTAGCAAAAAAGGATGGTCAGAAATGTGTGCAAGAAAAAACTAGTTCTAATTGGATGATGATTTTATACAGACTCCCATGAAACATGAGCATTGCAAATCACTCAATTTAGGACATCTCATATAAACAATGCCTCCTCTTCCACAAGAATGATCATGGACATCAACATAGAACCTGAGGAATTTTCCTGAGTGTCCACCTGGTCCATATTTGTGAACAGGAAATAAAAGTAAGTTTACAACAAGCCTTGTCTGTCATGCTCTTGGCTATGCTTTTACATTTCTCATTTCTGCCTATGACACACATTGCTGCAGTTAGCACATGTTCAAAGTCACTGACAGAAGCTGATTTTGAGCACACAGCAAAGCTTTATGCAAAGTCTATCCTCTACACAAACGTGAGAAGTGTCTTCCAAATAAAAGGGAGTTTACAAGCATTTTAATCTGCAAATATTTTAATATTAAGTTCTGCTGTGGCTTTGCAATCTCAGGGGGCTTGATTCTGCCCAGCGTACGTACCAACTATTTTGTGTATAAGGCCAAAGTTACAAATCATTAGGACACAGTGGAAGGAACCAAATACTGCAATAGTGAGTGCTACTGAGCTCCCACTAAGTGACTGCTGGTATATGAACACAAATGAGGCCCAAAAGAAGAATATGCACAAGTGCCTATTTAGCATGGTATGGGATTTCACTTAAATCAATGTTTTCTCAGATACCCATATGGCCAGTACACATTGGCAAATAACTGAACACAGAACTTAAACAGCAATTAATGCCCACAAAATCTACAATGCAGCCTTTCATCTTTGCCAGAAATCAAGTTTGTTTTAATCAGTATGCCTTTATGAAACAGCCATAATCCAAATCTGTAAATTGGGAGTTTTTTTTTTTAAAAAAAAACCCAACAACAACGAGTTATCACATTATCTAGACAAAAAAATTTAACTGCCCTGACAGTCGCCCTGAAAGCACAACACATTATAATTACCAACCGACAGTTGAAGCAACTCAAGAACCTGGGAACATCTGCAACGGATACCATAAATCTAGCACAGACCCCCAATCTGAGGGTACAGGAATCCAGAATTACTAAGCCTTTCAAAGAAAAAAATCATTTTTAAGACAAAACTATTCCATATGTATTTGTCCCGGTTAAGGAAGAAACTTGGTCTTCTGTTCTAATCCTAGCTGTCAGTGTATCCTAAAACACCCTAGAAAATGTGTATAATTCTTATTTACCTCACATGGCCACTGTAAAACAGTGGGCTTTTTTGGAGAGCCTGAAATGACAGATGTCAAATTTCAAGCCGTTGTTCACCATTATGTGTTCTTATCCCCATAATGGAAAACTAGAAAAGTAGTGAGAGAAAGGCACATAGGAATATATACACATAGGGAAACAATACAAAATAGATGATTGCAAGGAAATTCCTTAACTGCATTTCTGAATCCAAAATAAGTTTTAAAGTTGAGGAAATCCTTGAGCTTACTATTTTGAATTACCTATTTCTCTTAGTGATAGAAATGTAGCCGTGTTAGTCTGGGGTAGCTGAAGCAAAATGCAGGACAATGTAGCACTTTAAAGACTAACAAGATGGTTTATTAGATGATGAGCTTTCGTGGGCCAGACCCACTTCCTCAGATCAAATATTTTTTTTGATCTGAGGAAGTGGGTCTGGCCCACGAAAGCTCATCATCTAATAAACCATCTTGTTAGTCTTTAAAGTGCTACATTGTCCTGCATTTTGCTCCTATTTCTCTTAGGTTCAGTGAAGCAAACAAAACAATCACCTTGTCTTTTTCCACTCTTCTGATGAGGAAATGCCAAGATTACTGCATTCAATATACTGTATGGTACCCAAAAGAGAAGTGCAGTAGGCTATACAGAGCTAAACAATATGACCAGACCCATAGTGCATGGGTAAGCAATTTTTAATGGGGAGAGGAGCAGTCCAAGATTTGGTAAGTGGGCAAGGGACACATTTCTCTGGAGGTGTGCGAAGTCTGGGATGGTAGACGGGGTGCATAAGGGAGCTTGGGATAGAGGACTGGTATGCAGGAGGTGTGCGGAGTCAGAGGAAGTTTGAGTGAATGAGGGCATTATGATCTGGAGCAGAGGCTTGTGTGGCAGAGTCAGGGAAGGGGACAGATGCAGGAGAGGACTCTGGCCTGGAGGAGGGATGTAGGAGAAGGTGCAGGGTCTGGGAGGGAGTTGTGACATTAAGGAGGTGGGGAGAGGGGATACAGAAGGTTTGGGTGGTAACCTGGGGCAGGAAGTTGGGGGGAGGAATGGGTTGGGGTGCCAGAGGCAGGCTGTGGCTGGGACTGCTTACCTAGGTGGCTCCCAGCCAGCAGCCCTGCAGGAACCTGAGACAAGCTCCATGCCTGGCTGCTGGACTGGATGCTCCACATGGCTCTGCTCCAGCTCAGAAGGAATGGGGGGGGAGGGGAAGGAAGAAGGCTTTGCTCTGACCTTGCCTCTAGCAAAATTTCTCAGCTCCTATTAGCCGGAATCTGCCTCCCTGGCTTGCAGAGCAACACGGCTTTTAAAACAGCCTAAGCGGCCCTGTAGCAAGGGTGCTAGCATGGTGGCTGCAGGCCGGGTCTAGAGGCTTGGCTGCCAGACACCAGCCCTCTAGCCACCTCTTGCCCACCCCAGCCATAGTCAAATATGAACCTTCTGAAGCAAGAAGTCAATGACTTGTTATTCCCTACCTACTAAGCTTCAGCAGCTCTATAACAGAGTGAATAGCATTCCCAAAGAATTAACTGCTACTCAACGCAAAACAGAAAAAACTAAACATTTAGTTTCATTAGAGATGTGGTTTATGAATAAATGGAGACGCATTTTCAGTGCTGATGTGTGATCAGAGGCATCATTTCTCTGGAGTCCTGTTGAAGGTATTTATATAACAAAAAGTGTGCTGTTAATGCAAAAAGTAAGACCATAGACTCCGACTTAAGACTCGTGTACCTTTATTTCTTATGAAAGGGAAGGTTACTCACCTTGTGCAGTAACTGAGGTTCTTCAAGATGGTTGTCCCTGTGGGTGCTCCACCATCCATCCTCTCCCCCTCTGCTTTGGAACTGTCCGTTGTGGACAGAGAAGGAACCGAGGAGTCTGTTGGCTGCACATGCACAGTAGCCTTTCCAAATGGCACGTGCCAGCTGCACCTCATGCGCAGCCCACGGAGGGCACTGCTGTCTTAATTCTCCGACAGGAAGTGCAGTAGTGCCGAACACTTAAGGTGGAGCACCCGCAGGGACACGCCTCGAAGAAACAAAAGTTAGATAGGTTGAAGCTAGCTAGCTTCTATTACAACTTCATGATGTAAACTTGACGGTTGTGGGAAGTAAACAGAAGACAAGAAGATACCAGTCACTCTGATTAAAAGGCACAGAGAACCAACTACTACTCATCATGGATGAATCGATCGTATCCAACCAACAGAGACCTGAGGGGGCAGAAGCTTGAGGTTTTTCTGTTTTTAAAATATAAACATCCATCCCACGCTTTTACAACATCTGTAGTTTACAAATTGAATACAACTGATTTAAGGATATTTAGGTTCATAATCTTGGGATCTGGTTAACCTCTAACTTCTGCTAGCCCAAGTAGCTGAGTATTTAAAATATTAGGGGCACTACATGCCTGAAGTGAGCCATTAGTAATATAGATAAAAATAAAATATAAAAAAATGCACTCTCAGAAGCACCTTTATTCAGGAAAGAACTTGAACTCAGGAGAAAGTGCAGTCCTGAGTAAGGATGCTTTTAGGAATGCAGGCCATATGAAGAAATATCTAGAAAGCAGTTTTTTAGCTCAAACCCACAACCTTTGTAGGCTGGTTTCAACCAACTGTAATACTGGGGCAGCGATGGAGAGAAACAAACTAACAGGGGTATCAAGACAAAAATCTCCAGCATAGACAACTCTAGGTATGGGTCAGATACACACCTAACACACCAATCTCAAGGCCTTCCAGTTCTGTTTTAATTTTGCCGTAAATGTCTTCTCTCTCGAAGTCAGCAGCAATAATTTTTGTTTCCACCTGGAATTTTGCCTCTGAAAATAATAATAAAAAAATAAATGAATAGAGTTAGGTTAAAGCATGTCGCAACTCCAATTTTAAAAATTGGACATATACTTAAGGCATTATGGCTTAAGACAAATTACTATACCCACTCTTAGTTCAAAATACATTGTTATACAGTGTTACATTCATTTGTGCAGGCCAAGTGTTTTACTGCTAGGCTTATTTCATTTATGCATAAACGTCAGAGTACTACACTTAATTAGTTTATTTTCTCACCACACGAGCCTCTAAAGATTCGGCATCTTCTGTTCATGAGGATCCAAGGATTTCGCAAATTACACAGTTAATACAGACCACCCAAAATCCAGAAGTTAGAAGCAAATTTTACATATCGGCTACATGATGGAAGTTGAAACGCAATGGTATTAGGGACCCCTTCAAATATTTATACAGTTTAAATGATTCACTAACATTAGCAAGAGACATTAGCAGAAGACACTGAAGCTCAAATGTGTGTAGACTCCTGCTGCCACACCCTAATTCTGATTCTTTTTTTGGGGGGGGGGAGGGGAGAGGGAGAGGAATGTTTAAGAAACCAGGGAGCAAGAGCACTGAAGAAAGCAAGTAGGAAAAAAAAATACAACTATAGGCTACACAATGCAAACACCATTATTCAACACAGTGTCACTTCCACTCTCGCAGTGTAGTGGAACAAATGACATTAATATCAGAAATTGTGAAAAATTTAAGGAGAAAATGTCCCTTTAGTCCAATTCTCTTTCCATCAAAGTAAATTAATTTAACAATTAAAATCAGCACAATGACTTCTTGGACATCAGCCATACAAAGGTGGTGACCAAAACAGTTTAAATTAGGTGAAAATACCACCATTTACATACTCTTTCAGTAATTTATGCACATATATAAAAATGGTTTTAGAAAAATTGAGACCATTCATAAAAATGATCCTTTTCCCTTTAAATTGGCACCATTCACAAAAAGATCAGAAGCAGCCACATTCCCATGATGCTCTCTTCCATTCAAGAAAAAATTGCAGCTCCCATGATTCTGTTGTCCATTCATGCAGAATCATGAATCTACTGCACTCAATGGTTTGCTTGCTGCTTCTTTTTTTAATAACCCTAATGGCAGACAGAAATATTTCCCCCTCCCTTCATCTTTCATGAACAGCTGCATTGTTAAAAAATCCCCAGGGAGATGTTGCTATGTAAAATGACTACGTAAACAGCATTAAGCCCCCACTGCAGCAGCAGTCTTGTGATCACGTAAGAAGAAAATCAAGTTCAACATCTTTTACTGAGAAGAAGGAAAGTGAAGAGATTGTATTTTTGAACACACCTGTTCCAATGTTAAAAACATACACATGAAATCCTACAGGAAACTGAGTTAGAGGGAACAATGTATCAAATGTGGACAAGTGGATTGGGCAGATAAAGCAGCAAAAGAGGACATTATTGCACACATACTGTCTATTGTTTGCTAGTATTTTCAGCAATTTTCATTGCCAATAAGGGGCTCTATGAAACACACATTATTTAAACAAGTTAGTCCACCACTATCGGCTTACTTCTTGTATTCCTCAAAGTACTTTTCACTAGGTTTTGTTTAGCAATACTTAGGAGTTGTTTTTTTAAAAGGTTTATAAAAGCATACCAAGATATCTAATGCCAAAGGAGGTAACCAAAAAAAAAAGCTAAGACCTAATGCTGAATGAAGTTAATCCATATCACTGATAGGTGTTCTATGCAATCTGTATTCAAAGCTTATGAAAATTAGCAAGCTCTTAAAGGTGTAGCTTTAAAATGATTAAACAATACAGCTATAACTAATGTGGATCATCTTCTATACTGTGAAGCAGGAAGTAAGGGAAGCCAGAAGAAATGATACAATGAAAAATGAAAAAACATTGAAGTTAATATATTCAGTAAAAATGGCTTTAGTATTAGAATTGTTCTGTTCAACAAGTACATTGAAGGTCAAGTTACTACCCAACTTAAGAAAAATGTTCAAGATGGATCAGAAAAATTCAAGAGGTTATTTTATTCTATTTCAACTTTCTTATTAAGATGGTATTACCTCTTCAAAGGAGAATCAGTTAATACCCAGTAAGCCAGTTATACTTCACCAGGCCACCAACAGCCTATAGTAAATACAGGTGTTTCAATAGTAGACCAGATTTCAAACACCAGAGGATTCACACACACAATAATTGAATACATCAATCGCTTAGGCAGACCTATAGTGCACCACATCTCAATCTCAACACATTCTCTCTACTTCCTCAATGATATCTACAATCAAGCACATTCCCTCAAGACTCTTCCTAGCCTGTTTCCCATGGTGGAGGTGGTGATTGGTGTATGTTTAAATAACATTGCTTGTATCTTTAAATGTTAATTCTGGACATTTTTGGTATGTTACATTAATTAAATCTTATACCAAGGATCCAACAATTTCCTTACCCAAACAAATAATCTTAACCTGTAAGAATCTCTCTAGCCCACCCAAATTTCATGGTGATTAAACCATTAGTGAGCAACACAAAAATGGACTAGTGGCTTCATTGGCCATCAATCACCATGGTACAAAATGTAATACATCTATTTTGCTACTATTAACTATCAAAGTCAACTGGCAAGTTAAGCGTACTCACTAAGGGCAAATAAACCCCATGTGTTTTAGAATGAGCCAAGTCATTAGTGTTGACAGAAAAGGGTATTGATTCTCACCAAATATTACCATTTTGCCCTAAAATGACAGCAATGTCATTATGAGGGAGGAGGAATTTGTCAAGAGGCTGCACCAAAAGCTAAATCACTTTTGCATTCGTCCCTCTTTCCCATTTTAGGACCTACAATTCTACGTTTACTTACAAACTAATTTAAGATTTGCAATAAACAAGATAAAACTGTTTTATCTTTTATGCATTTGCTCTGTAGGTAGTGAATATTATTTCCATAATAATTATAACTCCAAAAAATGTGTAATTGTAGTGTAAGAGTTTAACTGTTAACCAGTATATAATGTTATCATCAACACACAATACATAATCAAATGGACCACATATTCTAAATTGCAATTCTGCGTGAATCTTACTTTGATATACACAAACATAAAAGTTCAGGTCTAGTTTATATCCAGGTACCACAGTATTCCATTATTTTGTCATTTTACCGCATTCCATATTATGCACAATATCTCAAAGTTCTTTTCTATTGCTAGACATGCTCCTTCACCTATTTCTGCTTGTGATTTCTTTGCATTGGGAAATAGATATTGGGCTGTTTGTTTTTACACTGCATTTATACACAACTATTTCCCCCCACACACTTCTATGTAGATTGCACATATATGCTACTCTCAATTTGTCCTTTTTTCAAGTACCAGAGGTGTAGCCGTGTTAGTAACTTTAAAAAGAACAAGCTATCCTGTGGCATCTTAGAGGCTACTATATTAAAATGAGTTTTATCCATGAAAGCTCATGATATCAGATGAGTTGGACTGAAAATTCCCTGGATTCTCTAATTTCCACTCCAACTCCTCCAATGAAATGGGTTTTAACCAAAAAAGCTCATAATGTATCTGTTAGTCTAAGGTGCCACAAGACTTCTCGTTATCTTCTAAAGTAGTTATCATTGGGCCTATTTTTAACCAGATATAACAATTTCCTTTTTATTATTCCTAGCCAATCTGTCTACTCCAAACTGCTCTTCAGCATCTATTGGCTTATTTAACCGAGACCTCCAACTTGGCATTTTATAGGCTCTCCAAAACCTTGATAAATTGTCATATTAGAAATCTGGTTCCTTTTCTAAAGGTTGGGTCTGGAGAGGATGGGGAAAAGGAGCTATCAATTATCTTATGCCTTCTGTATAAGATCTTCTTTTCCTAAAAAGTTTCCAAAAAACCTCAATCCTCATGCAGTCAGTTTACCCTGAAGTCCGTCATCTACCCAGGTCTGCTCATGCTGTAGGAGCATGTTAGAGAAAGCTTAAATTGTTATGTTGTGTTCTGATTTGTCAATTGCATTCATCTTGCTTAATCCATTAACCAGATAAAACTTAGGTTTAACCAGTTAATTGATTAAGTGGGCTGCTGCTTAATATATGCGAGCATACATTAAACCTAGACTAAACTATCTTGCAGCAAAAACTGTTTATGCACAGTGTTGAGCAATCATAATCCTTGATTCGGGCACCAAGAAGCTAGTGCAATGGAAACCCACAAAAATTCAACAATCTTCCTAATAACTTAATTTAGCTGCCATGGATGCTTTCACCTCAAGCAGCAAGTCATCTGATCACAGAATATTAGAAGTGGAAAGGACCTTGAGAGGTCATTAAGTCTTCTGCACTATGGCAGGTCCAAGCACCATCTAGATTAGGGATGTGAACAGTAAACATCACTCTTACCAGGTGATGTTTACCTGTCCACTGCAGGCACAAGGCTGCTCCAGCCCAGGGGAAGCCATGAACAGAAGTCAGTTGCCACACCCAGAGCTGCTGGCAGGCTGGGAGCAGAAATCTCCATCCCTCCGCACAAACATGCATGGCCACTGACGGGCTGGGAGCAGAACCTATGAACCTTTTCACCCCAGCATGCAAGGCTGCCAGCTCCTGCTACCAGTCCTCCCATTCAGGGGGCTGGTAGCAGGAGCCAGTAGCTTTGTGCATTGGGGTCTAGGAGCAGAAGCAGCCACCACCTCCCTCACTCGCAGGGGATCCCGCTTAATCAGCTAAACCTAAGATTAACCGGTTAATTCATCTCCAGGATTTTACATTCCTAGTCAATCATCCCTGACAGATGTTTGTTTATCCTGCTCAAACATCTGCAACGATGGAGATTCCACAAGCTTCCTAGGCAATTTATTCCTGTGCTAAACACTGAAAGTTAGGAAGTTTTTCCTAATGTCCAACCTCAACCTACCTTGCTGCAATTTAAGCCCATAATTTTTCTCCTTTCTCCTTGTAACACCCTTTTAGTCTCTGTATTCTCAGGGCATGTTTCC